ACGATGGACTACAACATGGACTCTCACTGGACCTCTACTGTTAGCTGTGATGGAACGCTGCCAACACCCGCGCCACAGCTATGATTTTCATCGCGTCCATCTCTGCATTTTCATCTACTACGGCTTGCTGCTCCACGATCACTACTCACTCATCTGGCAGCTTCATCAGTAACTACATAATGTGGGATCTACAGCCTGTCCTGCCGACTCTCCATCGCTGCCAGGGCACTGCTTGTTCTACAGGGGCGCCCACGAAAGCTGCTCTTTCGTCAGATTCATCTACACGTTCACTGCATTTTGATACTCTGCCGACTCAAGCCCTTTGCGCAGTACAGGACTTACAGCTTGCGTTTCCGACTCTTCGTCGCCTCCAGGACAATTCAGCTCTAGCAGTGATTCCCTCGTTGTCCTAACTACGTGCCTACATTACCTCCTAATGTCCTGGTGCCCGAGCCCATCCGCCCCGGATCTAAATGCTCCACCAGCGACCCAAGGACGCAACAATTATGCACATTCTTCTCTCCTGCTACACCGAGCTTGTCCACACACTGCCTACATCTTTTAGTACCAGACTACAATTTCCACAGTCAACAATGTAGTACTCGGCGTGTACAGTCCTAATCAACCCAAGACGCTACAGCTTCGACACAGAGCAGACAGCAGACTACGACCGCATCGAGCCGCCACGCTCTCGCTCCCCGAGTTTAGACACTCACAATTCTCAATCGAGCCGCCACGCTCTCCCACATAGAGCTCCACGACTCCGGCCTCACTCAGCTCTCTGCTCTGCTCCAGGCTTCGTCTCAACGTCTGCAACACTGCTAAATCCAGAGACACATCCGCCGACTACGCAGTTCACTTTTCGACCACAGTTACCAGCAGCACCGCCACCTACGACAACGGACGATCCTGTACGACCTCCCACCCTACAACCCCAGTTACCAGCCGTACCACAACCTGATCCTGCGACGACGGACGATCCTGTGCGACCTCCCACCCTACGACCCCAGTTAGATGACATCAGCGAAGAGGAGGAAGTTAACTTTGATGGTTATGTAACGCGAGCAGGGCGTACAATTCACCGACCAGCTAAGTTCCTTGATCAAGTATTTTTCCTTTCATCCCCTGGGAGGGGGAGTTCTGTAGCGAGTAGATTATCCCAATAATATACTCGCTCCAAATGCTTTGTTAATATTCCTGTCAACCTTTGGAGATGAATGAGGTGAGGCGTTGCCCGGGCAACACGGTGAGATGCCCGAGCAATATAAGCAGCGGTGTAGCGAACATTAACTAGTCTACTTTCAAGTGTGGTCTAGAGCAGACACTTGCGAGATACTGTACCAACGCTCAGTGCGCTCAACTCACACCAAAGTATCACCTGTGTACTTCTGTATATTCGACCAAATATATATATAGTATCTTAGTGTCTGTGTTTATTTGTCACCATACTTTACGTAACAATAGAACTGTTACAGTAGTATAGTGGTCAGTTGTTCTGTCATAAATTACCCCAGATGTAAGGGGAGCTGTTATATTAGTCCATAGGTGATCCAGGGTAGTGGCAGATGTTTGAGTGACTCGGGTGGGCTTGGTGATTGTGGGGATTAGCATACAGGAGTGCATGCTGTTACGGAAATAGTCAACTTGAGGGTGGTTTTGAAGACCCAGGTCAATATTGAAATCACCTCCCAGAATGATGTGATTTTTGTTGAGATTGTTATTTATGATAAGATTCCTTACATTGTCAGAGAATAAAGCTATGTTGGTATTAGGAAATCTATAGATGGCACCGATTATCAGGGAGGATTTAAGGGATTTACTGGAGAACTTGGCAAAGGTATATTCACAATAGTCGTCTCTATCACTAATGACACTATTGCAAGTGAAGGTATCTTTGTAATATATTGCTGTACCGCCACCTTTTTTATTAGGCCTGCAGTTATATATAATATATAACATCGTTATAACTTGCGAATAATCTGTTTACGACGAAGGTTCATTTAACAGTAAGCATGTTGACTTACTGGAACTATTAATATCCTTTCATATTATCACAAACATCTAGATAGCAGTCTCCGTGGTGTAGTGGTAAGACACTCGCCTGGCGTTCCGCGAGCGCTATGTCATGGGTTCGTATCCTGGCCGGGGAGGATTTACTGGGCGCAATTCCTTAACTGTAGCCTCTGTTTAACGCAACAGTAAAATGTGTACTTGGATGAAAAAACGATTCTTCGCGGCAGGGGATCGTATTCCAGGGACCATAGGATTAAGGACTTGCCCGAAACGCTACGCGTACTAGTGGCTGTACAAGAATGTAACAACTCTTGTATATATCTCAAAAAAAAAAAAAAAAAAGATAACTATTGAGGTGATTTGAAGGGAAAAGTAGTTTCTCACGGTAATCAATTTACTGTAAGAACGGACTCTACATTTAATATGCTAGATGAATCTTAGTTATCTTGAGATGATTTCGGGGCTTTAGTGTCCCCGCGGCCCGGTCCTCGACCAGGCCTCCACCCCCAGGAAGCAGCCCGTGACAGCTGACTAACACCCAGGTACCTATTTTACTGCTAGGTAACAGGGGCATAGGGTGAAAGAAACTCTGCCCATTGTTTCTCGCCGGCGCCTGGGATCGAACCCAGGACCACAGGATCACAAGTCCAGCGTGCTGTCCGCTCGGCCGACCGGCTCCCTAGTGATGGAATTTATTTTATTTCGCAAGATTAGAAATTAGTGCATTTTGCCATTTCATGCAAATGTGAGGGACATGGGGCTCGAACCCCGACCCGCCTATGATTATCCTATTCACCCAATATTATCCTATTGGAGCCGGTCGGCCGAGCGGACAGCACCCTGGACTTATGATCCTGTGGTCCTGGGTTCGATCCCAGGCGCCGGCGAGAAACAATGGGCAGAGTTTCTTTCACCCTATGCCCCTGTTACCTACCAGTAAAATAGGTACCTGGGTGTTAGTCAGCTGTCACGGGCTGCTTCCTGGGGGTGGAGACCTGGTCGAGGACCGGGCCGCGGGGACACTAAAGCCCCGAAATCATCTCAAGATAACCTATTAAGTAACATACCTTGTGCACCAAAATACTGAACCTCTAGTGTACAGACAATTAGTGTACTATTAAGTGTTATAATTAATACTATTAAGAGTTATAATTAATACTATTAAGAGTTATAATTAATACTATTAAGAGTTATAATTAATACTATTAAGAGTTATAATTAATACTATTAAGAGTTATAATTAATTAATTAATTAATTGTATTAGTTTTTCATTGCTATTAATGAAAAAAACGGGGCCCTTTAGCCCCCGTTTTTATCAATTCTATACAATTTAAAAAAATAACCCAAAGTACTTCAAAATGTGCTAATAGACCCCTGCCCCCCCCCCCTTATATAGATGAAGACGCTCTCCTGATTAAGGGGGGGGGACCCCTCCCCCTTGTTTAGATATATTCAGATATGATTTAGATATTTTATTTATATTTACATGCAGAACATGCAAATACGTACAATAACAGAAACATAACATACAAAACACAAACAAACCAAGACAAAGGTACAAAATCACAGGCCTGAAAGGCACACAACAAGACACAAACACGTATTACATATCCTGTAAGAGTACATAGTACATAAACTCAAAAGAAAATACATAAAACATACGAGCACAACAAACACACACCGAACTACGACATTGCTACAACGTTCGAACAATAACACCTCCTAACCAGTTATAACAACCAATATAGCAAGTTGTAACAACGTTCTAATACGTCATAAACACGTTAAGCCAAGATCTAACAACTTTATTACAAGTTGTAACAAGCGGAAAATAGAGACAGTTTCGGTTTGCAGGCGATGAGTCACAATAACGTGGCTGAAGTATGTTGACCAGACCACACACTAGAAATTGAAGGGACGACGACGTTTCGGTCCGTCCTGGACCATTCTCAAGTCGATTGTCAAGTCGAAACGTCGTCGTCCCTTCAATTTCTAGTGTGTGGTCTGGTCAGTTTCGGTTTGTGTTTCCAGGGGTTCTAGAACCCCAAAACAAGGGTACAGAACCCATATGCCTGAAGACTCTACAACCAAACAGCCAAACACAAAGGCACTGACAACATAGGTATAAAACAGGAAAAATAAAAAAACACAAAACAGGTCAGTCCAACACAGACCCACCAACACCCAAAGCAAGATACATGAATCCCAAAAAAGTACACAAAAGATACAGAAAATTACATGAAAAATCACAGAAAAGTAGGAAAATGCCTGAAAACACTAATGCACATAACAACAGTCCCGTCGGATCCGCAGCAAGCACAAGAACGGAAGGCGAAAACAAGAACGCCACACCTAGTAGGCATCCATCAGTCTCAGGAGACTATGGAGCTGCGCTCTGCCCTGGAAACACAAACCGAAACTATCTCCATTTTCCGCTTGTTACAACTTGTAATAAAGTTGTTACATCTTGGCTTAACGTGTTTATGACGTATTAGAACGTAGTTACAACTTGCTATATTGGTTGTTATAACTGGTTAGGAAGTGTTAAAACTTGTTCGAATGTTGTACCAACGTCGTAGTTTCGGTGTGTGTTTGGAGGGTGGTTGTCGGTCTGGAGTGGCCTCACCAGGGCACAAAGCCAGGGTAGGTTGATACGGGGGAGAAGCTGTTACCCATGCAGCAGGTCCCCCCCTCTCCACGCCATCAGTCACAGGAGACTATGGAGTTACGCTCTGGTTGTCGGTCTGGAGTGGCCTCACCAGGGCACAAAGCCTGGGTAGGTTGATACGGGGGAGAAGCTGTTACCCATGCAGCAGGTCCCCCCCCTCTCCACGGCGCTGAAAGTCACACCTACACACATACTTATCCGGAAAGTCTTCAGCCGGAAACCAGAGACAATTCGCTTCTCAAATAAGCCTCAAGACGATGAGCAGGTTCACGAGGGCGCTCCATAACATCCGGAACACTGGACACGAAGACATGCGCACTAGGAACCCAAATAACAGTCGGTCTCAGAGAGAGCGGCGCAACACGTTGAAATACGTAGGTCATCTTCAACCATCTCTGGTACACTGGACTGGTCACTATCACTACCAGACTGGTCACTATCACTACCAGACTGGTCACTATCACTACCAGACTGGTCACTATCACTACCAGACTGGTCACTATCACTACCAGACTGGTCACTATCACTACCAGACTGGTCACTATCACTACCAGACTGGTCACTATCACTACCAGACTGGTCACTATCACTACCAGACTGGTCACTATCACTACCAGACTGGTCACTATCACTACCAGACTGGTCACTATCACTACCAGACTGGTCACTATCACTACCAGACTGGTCACTATCACTACCAGACTGGTCACTATCACTACCAGACTGGTCACTATCACTACCAGACTGGTCACTATCACTACCAGACTGGTCACTATCACTACCAGACTGGTCGCCAGATACGACCCCCCCCCCCGACGGCGCAACCGCACCCCTGGAAAGGGGCGGCACCCCAGGGGGCAGGGGCGGCACCCCAGGGGGGGCACTACAGGGGGCAGGAGCGACACCCCAGGGGGCAGGGGCGGCACCCCAGGGGGCAGGGGGCACTACAGGGGGTAGGGGCACCACCACAGGGGGCGGCACCACAGGGGGCGGCACCACCACAGGGGGCAGGGGCAGCACCACAGGGGGCAGGGGCACCACAGCGGGCAGCACCACGGAAGATGCCACAGGGAGCAACACCACAGGAGAGACACCCGGAACAACATCCTCGGGTCCCGGACACTGGAACAGTTCCCTCACGTCGTAAATCCTTCTTCAGGACCCTCACAAGGCCCCGGGCCGCACCATCTGCCACAGGAGGATGAACCTTCCCCCCTACAGCAGGGAACCCACAGGAGGAGGACATACAGAGGCCAACTCACCCCCACACCAGCAGCAGCAGCAGGCACCCCATCAGATAACCATGTAATGAAAGATTAACCATGTAAAGATTTGAAGGTTAATTAAAATTTAATTTGTAAAGATTAACCATGTAATGTATCAATTATACAATATATGTATGTATGTGATGTAACTATATAACCTGAGCTTGTAAAAGCACCTTAATCACCTTCAGTGATTAAGTGCTTAATTGCACACTAGTTTCTCTATCAGCTATCTCACCCTGTCAGAGTAAAAGAAACAAATGTATGTGAATGCATGTGTGTGTGTGAATATATGTATGTATATATGTATATGTACGTATATGTGTGTATGTACATGTATGTGTATAATGTATATATGGAAGCTGATCAGAATTACATTTCACCTTTGTAAATGCACATTAATGACACTATGTAAAAGACACATCAAACACTTTATGTAGGGCATACGTAAATCTGTGTATCTATGTATTTACGTATGTAGGTTAGCTTAGCATTTTAAAAGCACCGAATCACCTTCTGTGGTTGATCAATAAACCCTTGAACTATATGTTTAACACATCTCTAACCCTGTCCATGGAGGACAGAAGAAAATGTATATATGCTGGTTAGCATTGTAAATGTCCGGCCACGTCTGTGGTAGAAAATAATAATAATAAAAAAAATACCAATACAAATAAGCGCCAACAGAACCTAAACCCCTAACCTAACCTAACCTAACCTAACCTACCCTACCTAACCTAACCTAACCTAACCTAACCTAACCTACCCTACCTAACCTAACCTAACCTATGCCTATATATGCACAATATGCTAATATTGTATTAATTTATATTTGAGAAAATTTCCGTTTTGAATGAACAGCGTGTAGAAATGAGTGAGTCTGTGGGGTCGGCCACCGGATGTAATGGACTTTAGTCGAGGACGGGATGGACAGGGTGCTCCAGCCAATCACAACTGCCAGACCACTATGACATTTACCTGAATTTACCCGAGGGCCACTAATACTAGTGGCCCTGATGAGGACAAGAAGCTGGCAGCTTGTCAAAGGTCATTTGCCCTGATGATGTTTTGTGTGTTGTCAAAATCCACCAGAGTTGGCTTCAGCAGGAAGGCAGTTCCACGGATTTACAACCCTATGGGGTGAAAAAGCATCTTTCTGTTCTACACTGGGGGGTTGTTGATCTTGAACCCGTTACTCCTTGTTCGTGTTACATCACCCGGATGAACAACCCAGCGGGTTTTCTTCCTATTGGGGAGTGTTGTATATGTTGCTATGGCGGTATGTCCACTCACAGGATGAGTGGCGCTGCCCAATACTGTGACTATGGCGGTGTGTCCACTCACAAGATGAGTGGCGCTGCCCAATATTGTGACTATGGCGGTGTGCCCACTCACAGGATGAGTGGCGCTTCCCAATACTGTGACTATGGCGGTATGTCCACTCACAAGATGAGTGGCGCTGCCCAATACTGTGACTATGGCGGTATGTCCACTCACAAGATGAGTGGCGCTGCCCAATACTGTGACTATGGCGGTATGTCCACTCACAAGATGAGTGGCGCTGCCCAATACTGTGACTATGGCGGTATGTCCACTCACAAGATGAGTGGCGCTGCCCAATATTGTGACTATGGCGGTATGTCCACTCACAAGATGAGTGGCGCTGCCCAATACTGTGACTATGGCGGTATGTCCACTCACAAGATGAGTGGCGCTGCCCAATACTGTGACTATGGCGGTGTGTCCACTCACAAGATGAGTGGCGCTGCCCAATATTGTGACTATGGCGGTGTGCCCACTCACAAGATGAGTGGCGCTGCCCAATATTGTGACTATGGCGGTGTGCCCACTCACAGGATGAGTGGCGCTGCCCAATACTGTGACTATGGCGGTATGTCCACTCACAAGATGAGTGGCGCTGCCCAATACTGTGACTATGGCGGTATGTCCACTCACAAGATGAGTGGCGCTGCCCAATACTGTGACTATGGCGGTGTGCCCACTCACAGGATGAGTGGCGCTTCCCAATACTGTGACTATGGCGGTGTGCCCACTCACAAGATGAGTGGCGCTGCCCAATAAACTCGCTCCTCGAGGCAAATTTAAAAAAATAAATCACCCCTTTTGAAGTATCGGGATCTACATCGTCCAAATTGTTTAGTATTTTAAAGGTATCTGAGATCCGACCTGTCCTTCCTCGTCTGCAGTGTTAACTCAGTGGCCCTCAACTGTTCTTGGTACGAGAGATGACTTAGCTCTGGTGTGACTTTTGTTGCTCGGTGTTGCACCTTCTCCAGAGCAGCTGTGTCTTTCTGAAGATGAGGTCTCCATGCCTGGATGGAGGTCATCTTCAGAGGTCTCCATGCCTGGATGGAGGTCATCTTCAGAGGTCTCCATGCCTGGATGGAGGTCATCTTCAGAGGTCTCCATGCCTGGATGGAGGTCATCTTCAGAGGTCTCCATGCCTGGATGGAGGTCATCTTCAGAGGTCTCCATGCCTGGATGGAGGTCATCTTCAGAGGTCTCCATGCCTGGATGGAGGTCATCTTTAGAGGTCTCCATGCCTGGATGCAGTAATCCAGATGGGGTCGCACCAAAGATGTACAATTGAATGACTACTTTCTATTCCTTGAAGGTAAAACATGGCCTTAGATGCAATGGAAGATAGATAAAAATGCTGATGTAAATGTACACAGATTTTGCAAAAGCCATCGACATGTGACCCATGGTGTTATCTCGCACAAAACGTGATCTGACTTGAGCTTTGCCCCTTGTTGCTTATTCCTTACCCCTTATTCTTACATTTCTTCTTATTCTTACTTAACTTTCCCTTACTCCTCCTATTCTAACATTCATCCTCACATCGCTCATTACCTTAAAATATTTGCTAGTATCTTCCTCTCTTCCAAGACATAATGGTGCAGGACTGACTGATATGTCATTTCTTCATTTCTTGATGTGTGATTTGGGCATCATAAGTACTTTTGGTTATATAAAATTAGTATATAATATACTGAGTAGTATGTGCTACTCAATATATTATTATATACTGAGTAGCACATACATTACAAAAGGTGCCATTGCTCTGTAAAACCATTTTAGAGCTTACCTCTTCCAATTATGTAGCTCTTTCATTGCTCCAGCTGCTTTCTTTCTCACTCTGGCTGATTCTGTGGTCAATCCTTAAGACTAGAGCTTTGTCTTCACACACATGGGGGGAGGGGTCCACGGTTTGGGTCCCCTAGAGGTGAGGTGAATCGAATGCAGTATACAATTTAAATGGACATTTTATTTACAAACAGTAATATGAATGTCACGCTACAAAAGATTAATGGTACCAAGACTGGCAACTGACATTTTGATACAATATTTGTGCTTCGGTCAGTCCACAGTATATGGTACAGCTTCACACCACCAGGGGGAAGATAGGGCTACATATAGCTACATAAAGATTCTATGTGGAATTACCTGTACATGTCTAGAAAATATATAAATATTTAATCTAACTGTACATAGTTATGAGGTTTCTACATACAATAAATGTCTGAATTAAAATGTCTGAAATTAAAAATAAAATTAAAATGTCTGAAATTAAAAATAAAATTAAAATGTCTGAAATACAAAGCACAAAATACAAATTATAATGGAGTAGTTAAGGCAGTAAGATAACAAAGTTAAGAAGTTAGTTAACTGGTGTAGTAGAAGTCAAAGGTTTCTAAAGAAGAATTTTTTACAATCGGCTTGTAAAATGAGCCATATTAGCTTACCTGCTTAAAAAAAAATTGTTTTACAAAAGTTCATAATAAATATTTTACAAGATATTACATCACTTGACTTTGTTTTCATAACCAACATTATCTGTTTCTCCAGTTACAACCTTGTCAGTTATTGACCAATAACTGAAAGGTTTCTGGATAACCATTTGGGCACGGTGACCTGACGAGTCATGGAGGTTCCAGTATTAAAACAGCCTTCAGTTAGATGCCTTGAGTAACTTATTAGTTCATAGGTCACAAAGGACTATTTATAGTCACAGGCTATTGAAGCCACATCTACCTGAGCACTGCTCTTTAATCTAGTATTATAGCAATTCAGATTTTGAGAGCCCAGGCTAGGGTAGCAGTACAAATCATTTGTTATAGATATGCACTGTTGCTCAGGAAATATATACAGATTCGGAAACCTGGAAGAAGCTGTTCAAACTGAAGCCAGTCTGGTTGATGGGGTTCTGGGAGTTCTTCTACTCCCCAAGCCCGGCCCGAGGCCAGACTTGACTTGTGAGAGCTTGGTCCACCAGGCTGTTGCTTGGAGCGGCCCGCAGGCCAGGCTTGACTTGTGAGAGTTTGGTCCACCAGGCTGTTGCTTGGAGCGGCCCGCAGGCCCACATATACCTGGTTGATGGGGTTCTGGGAGTTCTTCTACTCCCCAAGCCCGGCCCGAGGCCAGACTTGACTTGTGAGAGTTTGGTCCACCAGGCTGTTGCTTGGAGCGGCCCGCAGGCCCACATATACCTGGTTGATGGGGTTCTGGGAGTTCTTCTACTCCCCAAGCCCGGCCCGAGGCCAGGCTTGACTTGTGAGAGTTTGGTCCACCAGGCTGTTGCTTGGAGCGGCCCGCAGGCCCACATATACCTGGTTGATGGGGTTCTGGGAGTTCTTCCACCCCCCAAGCCCGGCCCGAGGGCAGACTTGACTTGTGAGAGTTTGGTCCACCAGGCTGTTGCTTGGAGCGGCCCGCAGGCCCACATATACCTGGTTGATGGGGTTCTGGGAGTTCTTCTACTCCCCAAGCCCGGCCCGAGGCCAGGCTTGACTTGTGAGAGTTTGGTCCACCAGGCTGTTGCTTGGAGCGGCCCGCAGGCCAGGCTTGACTTGTGAGAGTTTGGTCCACCAGGCTGTTGCTTGGAGCGGCCCGCAGGCCCACATATACCTGGTTGATGGGGTTCTGGGAGTTCTTCTACTCCCCAAGCCCGGCCCGAGGCCAGACTTGACTTGTGAGAGTTTGGTCCACCAAGTCGTGGTGGCTTCGGTACTATATCCGGAGGAGAAGGTCCGGGGGTAGGCTGGTAGGACTGCGTAGCAATGTGACCCGTTGAGTGAGAGCAACATTGGCTTTCTTCCTGCCGACCTCTGACCTCAGCGTCTTGACCTCTCTCTGAGCCATTGTCCTCAGCTGTTGACATACAGGAATTAAGTTGCTTAACTATTAAATATTCTCTTTAAATATTTTGCAATAAAATGTACATTGGGGAATGATGTTGGCATGGATAGAACTTAAATCTATAAGTCAGCACTAGAAATGATTAGGAAGAAAAACGTGGTGTTGAAGGGGAGTTGTTATCAATGACAACTGGGATAATGTGCCAACTTGGAAGGCATTGTTTCAGTTGTGAAATACTAATCGGGTTTTCTTCCTATTGGGGTGTGTTCACTCACAGAATGAGTGATGCTGCCCAATAACTCGCCCCTCAGGGGCAAAATTTAAAAAAATTATTAATCTAGAACCAGGATTTGTACATTGGCATAACTATATAAATGACGTATTGGGTGATGACCTTAGCAGATTTTGTTTTGAAAGAAGCAGGACTTTAAACTATTAGATTTTAGAGGTTTGTGTGTGAGAGATAAGATAACAGCTCAGGATAATATAGTGACAAGACACAAAACTTGCAAAGAAAGACAGTGAAGAGAAGGCAAAAAGTTTTGCTAAAAAATATCATAGGTGGACACAAGCATAAACACCCTAAATATATACCACACAAACATTGGGTATACTGTATGATAAAATAGACAATTGCTTGTGTGGACCGAAACAAAAGATGGAATTGAAAATAAATTGTTATCCACACATCCGTGGATATAAACATTCCATTCAGCTGGGCTTTAGGAGACGAACCATGAGCCAGAAGGGTGATAGTTCTGGAAACTTTCCTTATTAAGGCTACTCAATAGCTCGGTCGATAGAGCTTCGGCCTCACACACGTGGAGACCAGGGTTCGAGTCTCCCAGAGCCCAGGTGAATGGGATGTTATTGCATTTATCGAAACATAAATGAATGTAGAAAACAGGGAGCTATTGGCTGAATATCAATCACATTAAATTATAGCGCTAGACACGAAATCATATATAAATGATGTGCGCGGTTTCGGTTTTGTCACTGATATCATTTATATATGATATGCGCGGTTTGAGGGTTAAGGGATTCAAATTTTAGATACACATCAGTCAAGGAGGGAAAAATAGCAATATATGTCGGAAAATCTAAAATGTAGTGTCAGAGATAATTAAAACTGTCCCAGGAGATATTGGACGGAATTAAATTACAATAATGATAGTCAACTTTTATGTATTTATTATTTACATACAAAAGTATGTACTTTTACCCGAATAAACATTAATAATAATAATTATATTAATAATAATTTGTTAAACGTTTAATATTTTTAAACCTATACTATTTGCTGACGATACTAATAATCACATTATTTACATAATTATTCACATAATTATGTGATTATTATCACATAATAATGTGATAATAATCCCATTATTATCTATTCAGCCCCCAACCCCCACGCACTAAATAATATACCTGAATTTACCTGAGGGGCCACTAACTGTCTAGTGGCCTCGATATGGACAGTAAGCCGGCACCTTGTCAAAGGTGATAGAAACGCTATGCGTGCTAAGTAAGTAAGTAATTATCAAAAGAAGGCACCAAACCGGGAAGGCTATGTAGCACCATAAAATACGCAAAATAATCAGAGGGCGCTAAATATCACCAAGGATGCCAATACGAGAACAAAAACGCATAAGGCGAACGATATCAAAAGTATCCGAGTCACCAAGAATTCTATCGAGGGACAGGTGACCGCGAGGGGGCGGTCGGAAAGCAAGACACACGCTCGTCCTGGAAGTCAGGACATTCAAGAAGGACATGCACGACCGTAAGAGGGACAATGCAACTAGGACAATAAGGAGCAGGGCGGCGCTCCATCAAGTGACCATGGGTTAAGCGAGTATGGCCAATACGCAACCTCGCCAGAGCTGTTTCCCACCGCCGGTTACGGTGGTAGGAGGACGGCCACGAGGAAACACAACATTTAAGAGTACGTAGCTTGTTACCAGTAACAGACAACCAAGAAGCCTGCCAACGGGTAAGGACTGAGGATGGATAACCGGGTAAAAGTCGGAATACGGAATGCCTTTACGAGAGATGGGACAAGAGCGGACAGCTTCCTTGGCGGCAGCATCCGCACGCTCATTTAAAGACACACGAATATGGCTGGGAACCCAACAAAACTCAACCGACTTAAATTTACTGTGAACGAGAAACAGCCAATGCTGGATCTCGACAACTACTGGATGAACCGGATTAAAGGACCCGAGAGCCATGAGGGCACTACGAGAGTCAACAACAACTACAAAGGAAGACTGACAATGAGAAAGCAGGAGACGAAGAGCATAGAGAATAGCATAAAGTTCCGCTGTAAAGATGCTAGTCTCCGGAGGCAAGCGACACATATAAGTGCGATCAGGAAAAACAACAGAGTAGCCAACACCGTCCGCTGACTTAGACCCATCAGTGAAGACAGAAACGGAGCGGGAGTGAGAAGAAAAGTGCTCGAGGAAAAGGCGTTTCAGAACCGTAGGAGGGGTAAAAGCTTTAGTGATATGGGTCAAGGATGTACAAAACCGCGGAAGAGGGACCCTCCACGGGGGCAAAGAAGGAACAACACGAGGAGAAACATCAGAAATACGAACGGAAAGAGAATCCTGTAGGCGAGATAACCGGACAGAAAGAGGGAGGTGGTGAAGAGGAACAGGAACCGCAGGAGGGGTAAAAGTTAAAGCACGACAGAGGCGAGAGGAAGGATGTTGCAAGGACCGCGCAAGATAGCGAAGACAGTAGCGATCACGGCGGTCCTGGAGAGACAGGAAGCCAGTGTCAATATACAAGCTAAGGATGGGAGTCGAACGAAAGGCACCAGAACTGAGGCGCAACCCAGTATGGTGCAAAGCATCAAGACGGCGAAGAGTAGAAGGAGAAGCAGACGAGTAAGCAGGGCAACCATAATCGAGCTTAGACAGGACGAGAGAGGAATGTAAAGCAAGGAGAGTGCGCCTATCTGCCCCCCAAGAAGTATGGGACAAGACCCGAAGGAGGGTAAGGGCCTTAGAGCACTCAACACGGAGGTAAGAGATATGGGGAGACCAAGACAAACGAGTGTCAAGGAATAACCCCAAAAGCTTCGCGGAATCTTTGTATTCAAGGGGATGACCATAAAGTGACAAAGAGGGACGAAGAACAACCCGTTTCCGCGTAAAAGTCATGGCACAAGTCTTAGAAGTAGAGAACTTGAAGCCATGATCTGTGGCCCAAGACGACACGGCATCAATCGCAAGTTGAAGCCGGCGTTGAAGGAGAGGCGAATCATCACCCTGACAACAAAGGGTAAGATCATCGACACAGAGAGCGGAGAAGACACCAGAAGGAAGAGAGGAAAGAAGACCATTGAGGGCAACCAGAAAAAGAGTAGTGCTCAGAACACTACCCTGGGGCACACCTTCGTATTGCTGAAAAGAGGGAGAGAGAGCGGTACCAAGGCACACCCGAAAGGAACGACGAGAGAGGAAGCTGTGGAGAAAGAGAGGAAGATGACCACGAAGGCCAAAAGAATGAAGTTGAGATAGGATATGATAACGCCAAGTGGTGTTGTAAGCCTTTTACAGGTCAAAAAGGACGGCAACAACGGAGGTCTTCGCAGCAAAAGCAGTACGAATATAGACCTCCAAGTTCACCAGGACATCTGTCGTGCTGCGGCACTTGCGGAAACCAAATTGAGAAGGGGAGAGGTGGTGATGGTGTTCCAGGAACCACATCAGACGAACGTTAACCATACGTTCAAAGAGCTTGCAGACACAACTTGTGAGAGCAATAGGGCGAAAGTCCTTAGGGGAAGTACCCAGAGACCCCGGTTTGCGAACAGGGAGGACAACGGCATCGAGCCAGTCCTCAGGGACTGACGACGACTCCCAGATCCGATTATACAGACTCAGTAAATACTGAGACGTGCTCGGAGGGAGATGGCGAAGCATCTCATAATGAATACCATCGGATCCCGCCGCCGTAGAACCGCAGAGGGCCAGGGCAGAACGAAGTTCAGAGAGAGAGAAGGGATCATTATAGGGAAGCTGAAGATGAGTGCAGAAATCTAAAGGACGAGACTCAAGGACAGGTTTACGAAGAAGGAAAGATTGGGGAAGATGAAGACCAGAGCTAACAGAAGAAAAGTGGGAACCCAGTTCGGAAGCGACCTGCAACGGGTCCGCCACAAGAGTATCATGGAGGTGAAGGACCGGTGAAACATCGGGAACGAACTTACCCGCTATCTTGCAGATACGCTTCCAGATCTGGGCCAGAGGGGTTTCGGACGTAATTGTTGAGACATAAGATGCCCAACATTCACGTTTAGCCGTACGGATGGCCCTACGGGCCACCGCACTCGCTTTCCGAAAGAAAAGAAAAGAATCGGTCGTCTGCCTACGGCGGTGCCTCTTCCAGTGGACAGCCCGAGCACAGTCCGCATTCCACCAGGGAATGCACTTCCGTGGACCCCGAGAGGAAGAGCGAGGAATAGAGCGGAGGGCAGCGTTGAAGACAGTGTCATGAAAAAGGAGGAGAGCGCGAGAGAGAGGCAGAAGAGAGAGGTCAGAGAGAGCAGCACTGAGGGTAAATAGGGTCCAGTCTGCCTTAGCAAACTGCCACCTAGGGAAAGAGAGGGAAGGGCGAAAAGAGAAAAAGGAAACAAGGATGGGGAAATGATCACTTCCATGGAGGTCATCAAGAACCTGCCACGTGAAATCTAAGTAAAGAGAAGAAGAGCAGAGAGAAAGATCAAGACAAGAAAGGGTGCGAGTCCGAGAGTCCAAATGAGTGGGCTCACCAGAATTCAGAAGAGACAGGGAAGAAGAGAGGAGAAACGGCTCAAGGAGGCGACCCCGGGTATTCGTCAGAACGTCACCCCAAAGAGAATGACGACAATTGAAGTCACCCAGCAGGAGCACAGGCTCCGGCAAGGAGTCTAGCAGGTGTTTCAAATCAGGAAGAGAGAGCGGGACACTCGGGGGGAGATAAATGGAACAAACTGTGTACCATTTCCCCACAAAGATACGAGCAGCAGAACAATGGAGAGGCGAAGGAAAAAGTAAAGGAACAAAGGGAACATCAGCACGAATCAAGAGAGCAGAAGAATTAGAAGCCCCAGCAATGGCTGGGGGGGGGGAGAGAAAGGAATAGCCACGAAAACGACCAGGACGAGCACCAAGCATTGGCTCCTGGAGACAGACACAAAGGGGCGAAAACCGCGAAATCAGAAGTTGGAGTTCGAGGAAATTGGCGTAATAACCTCGAACGTTCCATTGAAGAATGCACAACGACGAGAAGAGAAAGGACAAAACCAGAGAACAAGGAAGAAACAAAGGCGAAAGAGCAACAGAGCACGTTAAAGAATATCAGGGTCGGGATCAGGGTCAGCAAAGTCAGGGTTAGGGGGCATGGGTAAACTGAGCAAAGACGGAGGGAAGGAAACGGGAGAACAGATCAGAGGTGGGCGGGCGGGGTCCGGAGGAGGAGGAAGAGGAGGAGACAACGGAGAGGAGCAGTCAAGGACAGCAGCAGGAAGAGGGGGAGTAGAAAGAGGGGAGCGCACCCCAGCAAGAGCAGCAACCGAAAGGGAAGCAGGGGCCAAAGAAACCTCCATAGCAGGAACAGGGGGCGCAATCACTGAAACGGGAGGGGAAGGAGCAACAGAGCCAGAAGTAGGAGCTGAGGAAGAAAGCGAAGCCTTCTTACCCGCCGGGGAAGAGGAAGGAGAGGAGCCAGGCTTACGCTTCTGACTTAAAGAGACCGGTGTCCCAGCAACTACGTACCGGGCAACGGATTCCAGTGTCTCAACAGGAGAAGCCGAACGAGAGCACACACGACGGCCGTTAGGAGAGCGATGGACATCCGCCTGCACCGACAGGCGGTGGGGAGAGCCGATAGATGGAGGAAGAGGATGGGAAGGAGGATCGGAGGGGGACGAGGAAGAAGACACCGGAGACATGACAGACCGGGTTGAAAGAAGGGGAACCCCAGACAGAGGACCAGGAGGGGGACCCCTCGGGAGAGAACTCAGAGGAACAGAGGAGGGGGCAGTGGGCGTATCAGGGTCCAAGGCCCGGAAACGGTTGAGAGTCTGAGGAAGGGGGGAAGGACGAGGAGAGGAAGAGCGCAACACGCGAGCATCAGAGATGTTAGTATAAGGCGGGAGCCAGCGAACCTGGCGCCTCGCCTCAGGAAAAGATAAACGCTCCCGGTGCTTCAGGTTAAGGACGGCCGCCTCAAGCTTGTAATGGACATAGGCACGGGAGAAGGCAGGATGGGCCTCACCGCAGTTGAGGTAGCGAGCTTGGGGAGAAGTGCACTCCGACTTAGAGTGACCTTCACCCCCACACAAAGGACAGAGAGAGACAGTCCCAGAGCAGCGGAGGGCACCATGCCCAAACCTCCAGCACTTGTTGCAAAGTCGAGGAGAAGGAATATACTCCTGGACAGAGCACCTAGCACCAGCAAGAATGACAGAGGATGGACGGGTCCTACCATCAAAGGTGATCTTCACAACGCGAAGGGGTTGACGGCGACGACCACGAGGGGGACGAGTAAACGAGTCAACCTGGAGGACAGAATGGCCTTGGGCATCAAGGATATGCCGAATATCATCGTGGCAATCCTGCAGATTCCGAACACCGGTTGCAACATGGGGTGGGAGGAGAATAGTGCCAACACTGGCATTCATCTGAACGTTCTTGGAGACCCGAACAGGGATCTCGCCAAGGCAAGATAAGGCAGCCAAGCGGGAAGCCGCATCCTGAGAAGGAGCAGCAACGACACGTGTACCGAGATGAGTGGGGTTGAAAGTAACAGACGCATCCACGGAATCTACAAGATGCCGATGGAGGGAGAAATCGTCAGGAGGCGCAGAATCAAGAGGGAGGAGATCAAAGTATTTGGCCCATGAAGCAGGACCAAACAAGGCCTGATACGCATCAGCACGGGAAGGAATCGAGCGAGTGCGGTTGGGGCGCGAACGGCGTTGAGAACCCCTAGAGAGAGAGGGGTCAAAAGGCGCAGTAGTCACAACGAAAGACTTAGCCACACCAGGGGACGAAGTGGTCACCACCGGGGGCTGGAGGCTCGACCCAACCACAGAGGAGGGAGGGGAGCTGGGGGAAGAAGTCAGGACGGTCAAAGGAGGAGCAAGGCCGGGGCCCAACGCAGCGGGAGCTACAGAGCCTGGTCTTCCAATACAGGCCGACTCGGGGGCTTGGTCGCCCACCCCACGAGCCTGAGAGGGTACAACGGAAACATTTAACGACATAGAGACGAAAAGTGACAAATTCATCCACGAATGTGCCCCCATACCCACCATGGAGCCACAATTAGAGGCAGGACACCCAACAGGAAGCTATCGCCTATCATGCCGTGGCCCCCTAGGGGTGCGTCGTGAGTATACGCCCCACAAACGCCACCTTAAGAACCGTCAGTCCGTCGAGATCGGGTTCAGCGACGAAAGGGGGATTGACAATAAAAGGTTCCCCTCGCTCGAGACGTTGGGTACTACAGTTCTACGGGGGCAAGAGTATGCCTCCTCAAGCACCCGGGCGTCAAAATAGAAGAAGTCCAAAGAAAGAATCCAAAACAAGCAAAAGGTCGGCAGGAAACGACAAGCAGATAGGAGAAGAGGGGGGAGAAAAACGAAACATAAGGAAAAGGAAAAGCGATTCGGCACAATTGGAGAAGACAGCAGCACGAGTGCAAGGCCAGAAAAGGACAGAGGACTGCCCAACGGAGCATCACACTCCGGCAGCCGTCCACCAAGCCCCCTCACGACGCCAACGGGCCGGATGGGGAGGGGGCTCTATGCGTGCTAGTGGCTTTACAAGAATATAAAACTTCTCTGCTCCACTTTAGTTCACTTTCTTTTCTTCCTCCTTTTTGGCACATATATTTGAACGAGTTCCGTGATGACCTTAAAGTTCCGTCACGATGCTTCCATGTCATGTCCAATTAGCTCCGCCAGGTGATGTTATGCTGTTCCTCTCTCATTGTTTGATAGTCTCCTCGATGGTAATCTAGAAATTCAACATCATGGACTTTTATGTGGGTTTCTAGATATCTTGGACAGCAAACAGTTTCAGAACCAGAGCGACAATATATAGAATAGTAATGTGCTAAATACAGGAGCAATCTCTTAGCCCATAGGAGGACAATCTCTCAGCAACCCCCCCCCCCCAAGGAACAACGTCTAGAGTTGACATTGTTTCTACACAAATGCCAGAAGCCTAGACAATAAAGTTGATGAACTGCATGTATTCGCCGAGACTGAGAAGCCTGACATCATTGGCATCAGTGAAACATGGGAAGATCAAGGCAATGTTAGGCTGCACTGTGGATCGAGGGAATGTACTAAACAACGCATGTTTAGTACATTCCCTCCATAATAACCGTAGGTGCCATCTTGTGTGTTAGAGAGGCTACTTGCTCTCTGTCTCGGTTACATCGCTTCTATAAACCCATCAAAACCTCATTCAGAGCGCTAAGCCAGTACGACTATATAGCACTGGGAAGAGGTCAGGATTTGGGATGGGACGGGGAGAAAGGAATGGTTGCCCAACCACTTGTGGACGGTCGGGGATTGAACGCTGACCTGCAAGAAGCAACTCCGTGTCTCTACCGCCCAATCAAAATAGTTGAACCCATGTAGTAGTAGTAGGCATTCTATAGTTGTTCTAGAAGAGGCCCTTCATGTGCTCGTCCTGAACCCCATGTACTAATAAATTTATCCCAGAACTCGAGTCTGTTCCCCCTAGGAGTGTGTGTGTGTGATCTGTTCAGGCGCTCACCTTCATCTCTGCTTCCACCTTGATCTCCATGGCTTCAACCCTTCTCCGCAAGTCCTCAATCTCATGTCTGAGACGGATGACGGAGATCTTGTAGTTAGCCTGAGGAGGAGAAAAGCATGTTGTGAACATCTTCCATTCAGTCTACTTCCTTCCCTTCCGACCTATCGCCCGCCTAAGCTCGAGTTTGGTCAAAAATGTTCCATTTTATCTTCATTGGTTTACCAGTGATCCTCAAAGTCACTCTGCTGAAAGGAACACGTTTTCAGTGACCCTGGCCTACAGGAGGACCAGAGCACAATGTTATGGAACCTTCATTACACATGAGCTCATTAATGACCAAACCACACACCAGATGACGAAGGAACGACGAGACGTTTCGGTCCGTCCTGGACCACTATCAAGTCAATTGTGGTCCAGGACGGACCGAAACGTCGTTGTCCCTTCACTTTCTAGTGTGTGGTCTGGTCAACATATTTCAGCCACGTTATTGTGGCTCATCGTCTGCACGAGCTGATGTTCCTGGAAATGTTCCAGGAACATTGTAGTTCCTGGAACATTGTAGTTCCTGGAACAATGAGTAGAATACATGAAATATTCTACTCGTTGATTTTTGAAGTGAACAAGTGAACAAGAGCCCCGTAGAACAGGCCTTTTAACTCAAACATTAACAACAGAACAGTGTTGAGACTTGTAAACAAACCGAGTTAGAATAGCAGGAATCCGCTAAACAACTGAATAACACTGAATATGTCATTCTGTAAACAATGAACATATAATACAATGAAGGGATAATAAACAAGTAAACTATTGAGTAATTAGCATAAAAACAACAAGAAGCGAGTATGATCAATTGCACTATTCATTAATTACTCGGAATACCCACGAACAAGTGTACAAGTGGAACAGTGTACTAAGTCAGAATTGTGCTTGCAAATCAGTGCAGAAGTGTACCAGTGTGCACTGTACTAGGGGGAAGGTACACAAGTATGTCAGTATTTCATCACACCAGTACACAGCCACTACAGACTCCTGGAAGGTGAGGCAGCTACTACAGACCCTCCTGGAAGGTGAGGCAGCTACTACAGACTCTCCTGGAAGGTGAGGCAGCTACTACAGACCCTCCTGGAAGGTGAGGCAGCTACTACAGACCCTCCTGGAAGGTGAGGCAGCCACTACAGACCCTCCTGGAAGGTGAGGCAGCCACTACAGACCCTCCTGGAAGGCGAGGCAGCCACTACAGGCTACTACAGACCCTCCTGGAAGGTGAGGCAGCTACTACAGACCCTCCTGGAAGGTGAGGCAGCTACTACAGACCCTCCTGGAAGGTGAGGCAGCCACTACAGACCCTCCTGGAAGGTGAGGCAGCCACTACAGACCCTCCTGGAAGGTGAGTCAGCCACTACAAACCCTCCTGGAAGGTGAGGCAGCCACTACAGACCCTGCTGGAAGGTGAGGCAGCCACTACAGACTCCTGGAATGTGAGGCAGCCACTACAGACTCCTGGAAGGTGAGGCAGCCACTACAGACTCCTGGAAGGTGAGGCAGCCACTACAGACTCCTGGAAGGTGAGGCAGCCACTACAGACTCCTGGAAGGTGAGGCAGCCACTACAGACTCCTGGAAGGTGAGGCAGCTACTACAGACCCTCCTGGAAGGTGAGGCAGCCACTACAGACCCTCCTGGAATATGAGGCAGTCACTACAGACTCCGGGAAGGTGAGGCAGCTACTACAGACCCTCCTGGAAGGTGAGGCAGCCACTACAGACCCTCCTGGAAGGTGAGGCAGCTACTACAGACCCTCCTGGAAGGTGAGGCAGCTACTACAGACCCTCCTGGAAGGTGAGGCAGCCACTACAGACCCTCCTGGAAGGTGAGGCTGCTACTACAGACCCTCCTGGAAGGTGAGGCAACTACTACAGACCCTCCTGGAAGGTGAGGCAACTACTACAGACCCTCCTGGAAGGTGAGGCAGCTACTACAGACCCTCCTGGAAGGTGAGGCAGCTACTACAGACCCTCCTGGAAGGTGAGGTAGCTACTACAGACCCTCCTGGAAGGTGAGGCAGCCACTACAGACTCCTGGAAGGTGAGGCAGCCACTACAGACCCTCCTGGAAGGTGAGGCAGCCACTACAGACTCCTGGAAGGTGAGGCAGCTACTACAGACCCTCCTGGAAGGTGAGGCAGCCACTACAGACCCTCCTGGAAGGTGAGGCAGCCACTACAGGCCCTCCTGGAAGGTGAGGCAGCCACAACAGGCCACAACAGACCTTCCTGGAAGGCTCGTCTCTGACGCCGGTGATGATAGGTTCTCGCTTGATGATGGAACCGATGATGCGGCGATGAAGAGCGTCCAGTTCGTTCCTCAGAACAGTCTGCCGCTCCTCCAGCTGGGTCCCCGTCCGTCGGGCGTCCACCCACGCCGTCCACCACTCCTGCCGGCGCTGCAGGAGGACACAAGCTACAGATTACTGTGGCTGGAGACAGGTTTATATGCTTTTAATGACTAGGATCTAAATGAAATGTATAAAACGTTTTCAATAAAGGAGGGATCAGCTAGGGGTGTCCCAGGGGAGGATAAGCTCGTAGTGTCCCAGGGGATGGATAAGCTTGTAGTGTCCCAGGGGATGGATAAGCTTGTAGTGTCCCAGGGGATGGATAAGCTTGTAGTGTCCCAGGGGATGGATAAGCTTGTAGTGTCCCAAGGGATGGATAAGCTTGTAGTGTCCCAGGGGATGGATAAGCTTGTAGTGTCCCAGGGGAAGGATAAGCTTGTAGTGTCCCAGGGGGAGGATAAGCTTGTGTCCCAGGGGGAGGATAAGTAAGTAAGTAATTATCAAAAGAAGGCACCAAACCGGGAAGGCTATGTAGCACCATCAAATACGCAAAATAATCAGAGGGCGCTAAATATCACCAAGGATGCCAATACGAGAACAAAAACGCATAAGGCGAACGATATCAAAAGTATCCGAGTCACCAAGAATTCTATCGAGGGACAGGTGACCGCGAGGGGCGGTCGGAAAGCAAGACACACGCTCGTCCTGGAAGTCAGGACATTCAAGAAGGACATGCACGACCGTAAGAGGGACAATGCAACTAGGACAATAAGGGGCAGGGCGGCGCTCCATCAAGTGACCATGGGTTAAGCGAGTATGGCCAATACGCAACCTCGCCAGAGCTGTTTCCCACCTCCGGTTACGGTGGAAGGAGGACGGCCACGAGGAAACACAACATTTAAGAGTACGTAGCTTGTTACCAGTAACAGACAACCAAGAAGCCTGCCAACGGGTAAGGACTGAGGAATGGATAACCGGGTAAAAGTCGGAATACGGAATGCCTTTACGAGAGATGGGACAAGAGCAGACAGCTTCCTTGGCGGCAGCATCCGCACGCTCATTTAAAGACACACCAATATGGCTGGGAACCCAACAAAACTCAACCGACTTAAATTTACTGTGAACGAGAAACAGCCAATGCTGGATCTCGACAACTACTGGATGAACCGGATTAAAGGACCCGAGAGCCATGAGGGCACTACGAGAGTCAACAACAACTACAAAGGAAGACTGACAACGAGAAAGCAGGAGACGAAGAGCATAGAGAATAGCATAAAGTTCCGCTGTAAAGATGCTAGTCTCGGAGGCAAGCGACACATATAAGTGCGATCAGGAAAAACAACAGAGTAGCCAACACCGTCCGCTGACTTAGACCCATCGGTGAAGACAGAAACGGAGCGGGAGTGAGAAGAAAAGTGCTCGAGGAAAAGGCGTTTTAGAACCGTAGGAGGGGTAAAAGCTTTAGTGATACGGGTCAAGGATGTACAAAACCGCGGAAGAGGGACCCTCCACGGGGGCAAAGAAGGAACAACACGAGGAGAAACATCAGAAATACGAACGGAAAGAGAATCCTGTAGGCGAGATAACCGGACAGAAAGAGGGAGGTGGTGAAGAGGAACAGGAACCGCAGGAGGGGTAAAAGTTAAAGCACGGCAGAGGCGAGAGGAAGGATGTTGCAAGGACCGCGCAAGATAGCGAAGACAGTAGCGATCACGGCGGTCCTGGAGAGACAGGAAGCCAGTGTCAACATACAAGCTAAGGATGGGAGTCGAACGAAAGGCACCAGAACTGAGGCGCATCCCAGTATGGTGCAAAGCATCAAGACGGCGAAGAGTAGAAGGAGAAGCAAACGAGTAAGCAGGGCAACCATAATCGAGCTTAGACAGGACGAGAGAGGAATGTAAAGCAAGGAGAGTGCGCCTATCTGCCCCCCAAGAAGTATGGGACAAGACCCGAAGGAGGGTAAGGGCCTTAGAGCACTCAACACGGAGGTAAGAGATATGGGGAGATCAAGACAAACGAGTGTCAAGGAATAACCCCAAAAGCTTCGCGGAATCTTTGTATTCAAGGGGATGACCATAAAGTGACAAAGAGGGACGAAGAACAACCCGTTTCCGCGTAAAAGTCATGGGACAAGTCTTAGAAGTAGAGACCTTGAAGCCTTGATTTGTGGCCCAAGACGACACGGCATCAATTGCAAGTTGAAGCCGGCGTTGAAGGAGAGGCGAATCATCACCCTGACAACAAAGGGTAAGATCATCGACATAGAGAGCGGAGAAGACACCAGAAGGAAGAGAGGAAAGAAGACCATTGAGGGCAACCAGAAAAAGAGTAGTGCTCAGAACACTACCCTGGGGCACACCTTCGTATTGCTGAAAAGAGGGAGAGAGAGCGGTACCAAGGCGCACCCGAAAGGAACGACGAGAGAGGAAGCTGCGGAGAAAGAGAGGGAGATGACCACGAAGGCCAAAAGAATGAAGTTGAGATAGGATATGATAACGCCAAGTGGTGTCGTAAGCCTTTTCCAGGTCAAAAAGGACGGCAACAACGGAGGTCTTCGCAGCAAAAGCAGTACGAATATAGACCTCCAAGTTCACCAGGACATCTGTCGTGCTGCGGCACTTGCGGAAACCAAATTGAGAAGGGGAGGAGGTGGTGATGGTGTTCCAGGAACCACATCAGACGAACGTTAACCATACGTTCAAAGAGTTTGCAGACACAACTTGTGAGAGCAATAGGGCGAAAGTCCTTAGGGGAAGTACCCAGAGACCCCGGTTTGTGAACAGGGAGGACAACGGCATCGAGCCAGTCCTCAGGGACTGACGACGACTCCCAGATCCGATTATACAGACTCAGTAAATACTGAGACGTGCTCGGAGGGAGATGGCGAAGCATCTCATAATGAATACCATCGGAGCCCGCCGCCGTAGAACCGCAGAGGGCCAGGGCAGAACGAAGTTCAGAGAGAGAGAAGGGATCATTATAGGGAAGCTGAAGACGAGTGCAGAAATCTAAAGGACGAGACTCAAGGACAGGTTTACGAAGAAGGAAAGATTGGGGAAGATGAAGACCAGAGCTAACAGAAGAAAAGTGGGAACCCAGTTCGGAAGCGACCTGCAACGGGTCCGCCACAAGAGTATCATGGAGGTGAAGGACCGGTGAAACATCGGGAACGAACTTACCCGCTATCTTGCGGATACGCTTCCAGATCTGGGCCAGAGGGGTTTCGGACGTAATTGTTGAGACATAAGATGCCCAATATTCACGTTTAGCCGTACGGATGGCCCTACGGGCCACCGCACTCGCTTTCTGAAAGAAAAGAAAAGAATCGGTCGTCTGCCTACGGCGGTGCCTCTTCCAGGCTGCACGCTTACAGCGGACAGCCCGAGCACAGTCCGCATTCCACCAGGGAACGCACTTCCGCGGACCCCGAGAGGAAGAGCGAGGAACAGAGCGGAGGGCAGCGTTGAAGACAGTGTCATAAAAAAGGAGGAGAGCGCGTGAGAGAGGCAGAAGGGAGAGGTCAGAGAGAGCAGCACTGAGGGTAAATAGGGTCCAGTCTGCCTTAGCAAACTGCCACCTAGGGAAAGAGAGGGAAGGGCGAAAAGAGAAAAAGGAAACAAGGATGGGGAAATGATCACTTCCATGGAGGTCATCAAGAACCTGCCACGTGAAATCTAAGTAAAGAGAAGAAGGGCAGAGAGAAAGATCAAGACAAGAAAGGGTGCGAGTCCGAGAGTCCAAATGAGTGGGCTCACCAGAATTCAGAAGAGACAGGGAAGAAGAGAGGAGAAACGGCTCAAGGAGGCGACCCCGGGTATTCGTCAGAACGTCACCCCAAAGGGAATGACGACAATTGAAGTCACCCAGCAGGAGCACAGGCTCTGGCAAGGAGTCTAGGAGGTGTTTCAAATCAGGAAGAGAGAGCGGGACACTCGGGGGGAGATAAATGGAACAAACTGTGTACCATTTCCCCACGAAGATACGAGCAGCAGAACAATGGAGAGGCGAAGGAAAAAGTAAAGGAACAAAGGGAACATCAGCACGAATCAAGAGAGCAGAAGAATTAGAAGCCCCAGCAATGGCTGGGGGGGGGGGGAGAGAAAGGAATAGCCACGAAAACGACCAGGACGAGCACCAAGCATTGGCTCCTGGAGACAGACACAAAGGGGCGAAAACCGCGAAATCAGAAGTTGGAGTTCGAGGAAATTGGCGTAATAACCTCGAACGTTCCATTGAAGAATGCACAACGACGAGAAGAGAAAGGACAAAACCAGAGAACAAGGAAGAAACCGAGGCGAAAGAGCAACAGAGCACGTTAAAGAATATCAGGGTTGGGATCAGGGTCAGCAAAGTCAGGGTTAGGGGGCATGGGTAAACTGAGCAAAGACGGAGGGAAGGAAACGGGAGAACAGATCAGAGGGGGGCGGGCGGGGTCCGGAGGAGGAGGAGGAGGAGGAGGAGGAGGAGGAAGAGGAGGAGACAACGGAGAGGAGCAGTCAAGGACAGCAGCAGGAAGAGGGGGGAGTAGAAAGAGGGGAGCGCACCCCAGCAAGAGCAGCAACCGAAAGGGAAGCAGGGGCCAAAGAAACCTCCATAGCAGGAACAGGGGGCGCAATCACTGAAACGGGAGGGGAAAGAGCAACAGAACCAGACGTAGGAGCTGAGGAAGAAAGCGAAGCCTTCTTACCCGCCGGGGAAGAGGAAGGAGAGGAGCCAGGCTTACGCTTCTGACTTAAAGAGACCGGTGTCCAAGCAACTACGTACCGGGCAACGGATTCCAGTGTCTCAACAGGAGAAGCCGAACGAGAGCACACATGACGGCCGCTAGGAGAGCGATGGACATCCGCCCGCACCGACAGGCGGTGGGGGGAGCCGATAGATGGAGGAAGAGGATGGGAAGGAGGATCGGAGGGGGATGAGAAAGAAGACACAGGAGACACGACAGACCGGGTAGAACGAAGGGGAACCCCGGACAGAGGACCAGGAGGAGGATCCTTCGGGAGAGAACCCAAAGGAACAGAGGAGGGGGCAGTGGGCGCATCAGGGTCCAAGGCCCGGAAACGGTTGTGAGTCCGAGGAAGGTGGGAAGGACGAGAGGAAGAGCGCAACACGCGAGCATAAGAGATATTAGCATAAGGTGGGAGCCGGCGAACCTGGCGTCTCGCCTCAGGAAAAGATAAACGCTCCCGGTGCTTCAAGTTGAGGACGGCTGCCTCAAGCTTGTAATGGACACACGCACGGGAGAAGGTAGGATGGGCCTCACCGCAGTTGAGGCAACGAGCCTGGGGAGAAGTGCACTCCGACTTAGAGTGACCTTCGCCACCACACAAAGAACAGAGAGACAGTCCCGGAGCAGCGGAGGGCACCATGCCCAAACCTCCAGCGCTTGTTGCAGAGCCGAGGAGAAGGAATGTACTCCTGGACAGAGCACCTGGCACCAGCAAGAATGACAGAGGGTGAAAGGGTCCTACCATCAAAGGTAATCTTCACAACCCGGAGGGGTTGACGGCGACTACCACGAGGGGGACGAGTAAACGTGTCCACCTGGAGAATAGAATGGCCCTGGGCAGCAAGGATATGTCGAATATCGTCGTGGCAGTCGCGCAGGTCCCGAACACCGGTCGCAACATGGGGCGGGAGCAAAATAGTGCCAACACTGGCATTCAACTGAGCGTTCTTCGAGACCCGAACAGGGGTCTCGCCAAGGCAGGATAAGGCAGCCAAGCGGGAAGCAGCATCCTGAGAAGGAGCAGCAACGACACATGTACCGAGACGAGTGGGGTTGAAAGTAATGGAGGCATCCACGGAATCAACGAGATGTCGATGGAGGGAGAAATCGTCAGGAGGCGCAGAATCAAGAGGGAGGAGATCAAAATATTTGGCCCACGAAGCGGGACCAAACAAGGCTTGATAGGTAGCAGAACTGGAAGGAATCGAGCAAGGGCGGCCGTGACGAGGACGGCGGTGAGAACCCCCAGAGAGAGAGGGGTTAAAAGGCGCAGTAGTTACAACTAGAGAAGGGGCCGCGCCAGGGGACGAGGTAGTCACCACTGGGGGCCTGGGGCTCGACCCAACCACAGAGGAGGGAGGGGAGCCAGGGGAAGGAGTCAGAGAGGCCAAAGGAGGAGCAAGGTCGGGGCCCAATGCAGCGGAGGCTACAGAGCCCGGTCTTCCAATACGGACCGACTCGGGGGCTTGGTCGCCCACCCCACGAGCCTGAGAAGGTACACCAGAAGCAGCCGAAACAGGGGTTATCATCATGACGAAAAGAAGAATTCATTCACGAATGTGCCCCCACACCCACCATGGAGCCACAATTGGGTGTCCTGCCATGGAGAGGCAGGACACCCAACAAGAAGCTATCGCCGATCTTGCCGGGGCCTCCTAGGGGTGCGTCATGAGTATACGCCCCACAAACGCCACCTTAAGAAACCGACAGTCCGTCGAGATCGGGTTCAGTGACGAAAGGGGGATTGATAATAAAAGGTTCCCCTCGCTCTCGACGTCGGGTACTACAGTTCTACGGGTGCAAGAGTATGCCACCTCAGGCACCCGGGCGTCAAAATAGAAGAAGTCCAAGGGAAGAACCAGAACGAGCAAAAGGTCGGCAGGAAACGGCAAGCAGATAGGAGAAGAGGGGGGAGAAAAACGAAACAGAAGGAAAAGGAAAAGATGCCCAGCAGAATTGGAGAGGACGGCAGCAGGAGCACAAGGCTAGAAAAGGACAGAGGACTGTCCCAAGGAGCATCACACTCCGGCAGCCGCCCACTAAGCCCCCACACGGCGACAACGAGCTGAGCGGGGAGGGGGTCCCAGGGGAAGGATAAGCTTGTAGTGTCCCAGGGGGAGGATAAGCTTGTAGTGTCCCAGGGGAGGGGTAAGAAAGGCATCTAGGGGGTAGGTGTAACCCCTGGTACATATAATAGTGTATTAGACACCGACTTACCAACAGAGTTCCTGCTGTCTTTCATTAAAATTAACTTTTTTAATTTTAACTCTTATATCCAAGATACATGACCCTAATCCCTTTAGGGATTATAAGGCCCTCTCTGACCCTCCAGACTTGCTATTGTGGTGATATCTTGTGGTTTAGGGTGTTAAAAGCCTGTTACTTAAGGCCCTCTCTGACCCTCCAGACTTGCTATTGTGGTGATATCTTGTGGTTTAGGGTGTTAAAAGCCTGTTACTTAAAATATAAATTAAGGTGTTAACAAGAATCTCTTAATTTATGTATTTAAGACAAATTTATTGTAGCTAATTTGTACTTTTATTTTTATTTTACTAATCCTTTAATCGCAAGGATTTTAATATAACTGTTTTAGCATTATATTTTTTTTGTCTTTCAGATTTTTTGATTTATTCCGATTTAAATACGCTATAGCGATACAAATTTATTAATAAATTTAATTATTAATAACTAGTTTTGAATTATATAGATTGGAATTATAATAAGGATAATTAACATAGCTGAAAGTTTAACCTTGGGTAAAATAACTTGTGATAATGATAACATTGTAAGTTAACAATGTCCTGTAACTTGAGTTAAAATGACTAAGTTTAACACTGAGATTATTACCTTTGTCCATTAACCCCTTGTAAGTTTAATAAGGGGTTAATATAATAGTTAATATATGAACTTGTGTAACTATCAGAGGGGTAAGTTTAACAATGGGGACTTACACTGGTGTAAGTGCTACCTTGGGTAAAGTAACTATGTAATACATTAACATTGAACTTAGCTACGATCACTGACATTCATACACCCTCCTAAGTCCTTTTCTAACTTAAGTTATTTTCTCCTCCATCTCTCTGTCCTTGGGGTGGAGGGTAGAGCGACGGTCTCGCTTCATGCAGGTCGGCGTTCAATCCCCGACCGTCCACAAGTGGTTGGGCACCATTCCTTCCCCCCCCCGTCCCATCCCAAATCCTTATCCTGACCCCTTCCCAGTGCTATATAGTCGTAATGGCTTGGTGCTTTCTCCCTTGATAACTCCCCTCGACGATGACAGGAAGCCGGCGGCTTGTCAAAGGCCCTCACCCTTTCAATCTTTGACAAAGTGACTCCTCCTTGTCCCTTTGTGTCTCAACTTTTCTTACCTTGTCTCTGGCCCTAAGGACCTGCTCGTGGAGGTCTCTGGCCTTGTTGAAGAGCTTCTGACGAAGGTCTTCGGCCCGGGTCTTCTCCTTCAGCACCTCCTCCAGCCGCGAGGACAGTCTTTCTGTGTTGCGAAACCACTTTATCAATTTCTAAGGGAGGCAGTGGGGTAATCTTCACTCCAGGGGGAAGCCAGGGTCACTGTTACTACAGGGTAGCCAGGGGGGGGGGTCACAGATGGGTAAGATATTATGAACCTTACGTTTATATATACACCCTGGCTTCCTGTCCCCCTGGCACAATGAATTATTAATTATAGGAGACCCAGACAAGAATATGAGAATGATAACAGAGATTATAGTTGAAATACGTAGCGACGGAGGCCGCGTTACCTATAATACAGTATTCTGTATCACTCTGTATCACTGTAGTATCACTCTGTAGGTACTAATACAGTAGGTACTCTGTTGGGACTGTAGTCACAAGACACACACTTTAAAAATAAACTTCAGAGAAGATTTAAGAGAATTGCTTCTTTACGGAGCCATATAGTGGGTTTAGGAAGTCGGACAATTACAGCCATATCCTCTACATCCATCAATACGCAATGATATTTAGGTCTGTACGCACACACACACACACACACAACCACTCATATACGCACACGAGCACACACACACACACACACACACACACACACACACACACACACACACACACACACAACCACTCATATACGCACACGAGCACACACACACACACACACACACACACACACACACACACACACACACACACACACACACACACACACACACACACACAAATTAGGGCGAAAATTAGAACTTCATTCAGAAACCTAAATGAGGAAGCTTTTAGGGCACTTTACACTGCCTACGTGAGACCCGTCTTAGAGTATGCCGCGCCATCATGGAGCCCCCACCTGAAGAAACACATAAAGAAACTGGAGAAGGTCCAGAGGTTTGCGACGAGGCTTGTCCCAGAGTTACGAGGGATGGGATATGAAGAGCGGCTGAAGGAACTGAACCTAACGACACTAGAGAAAAGAAGGGAGAGAGGAGATATGATAGGGACATATAAAATACTCAGGGGAATTGATAAAGTGGAAATAGATGAAATGTTCACACGTAATAATAACAGAACGAGGGGACATGGGTGGAAACTGGAAACTCAGATGAGTCACAGAGATGTTAGGAAGTTTTCTTTTAGCGTGAGAGTAGTAGAAAAATGGAATGCACTTGGGGAACAGGTTGTGGAAGCAAATACTATTCATACTTTTAAAACTAGGTATGATAGGGAAATGGGACAGGAGTCATTGCTGTAAACAACCGATAGCTAGAAAGGCGGGATCCAAGAGTCAATGCTCGATCCTGCAAGCACATATAGGTGAGTACATATAGGTGAGTACACACACACAGGTACAAGCAACCAGTCCTCCAAATAGAACGTCGCATTTTGACGTATAATCTCCCTAAAGCCAAAAAAATCGTCGTACTAGAAAATGGAAGCGGCTGGCGAAAGTGACGTACTGTCCCGTTTTCTGTTTTAGGTCCTCTGGTAAGTTAACCTAAGCGCAATTTAGTACCACAGTTTCTTGACGTTTGGGGGAGCCTTAGGAGGACAGGCTGAACTACCACGCACCCCACTGCACGCAACCCCCCCCCCCCCCCACACCCCCCCACGCAACACCCCCCCACCACACAGCAACACGAACTTTCGTGAATACCATCGCTAAAATATATATATCTGTTTGTATCGTGTCATGCCATTTCGTGCAGCGTTCTTATTTGGTGAAGGCGACCCGATAGCAAAGAAATAATCTCATATTACGCTCAGAATATATTCAAAGATGTGTTTTTATTTCTTGAAATTTATTCAGTATTTTATATTCTTAAAATTCAGCTATCAGGGATATTATTATGTTTGCTGTCTACTGGTTAAATGTGTGTTAAAATGCGTGATTGCTCAGGTTAGGAGCGAACACCAGTGGTTATCTTGAGGTTATCTTGAGATGATTTCGGGGCTTAGCGTCCCCGCGGCCCGGTCCTCGACCAGGCCTCCTTTTTGTTACACATCCCCCAGGAAGCAGCCCGTAGCAGCTAACTCCTAGGTACCTATTTACTGCTAGGTGAACAGGGGGGCATCAGGGTGAAAGAAACTATGCCCATTTGTTTCTGCCTCCGCCGGGGATCGAACCCGGAACCTTAGGACTACGAATCCCAAGCGCTGTTCACTCAGCCGTCAGACCCTCTCTCTCTTTCTGTAGTATTCTTGCTTATCAGTGTAAATGAACTAGTTTAGGATGAGATAGGCTAATACACTCTTCTTATCTTGAAATGATTTCGGGGCTTTAGTGTCCCCGCGGCCCGGTCCTCGACCAGGCCTCCACCCCCAGGAAGCAGCCCGTGACAGCTGACTAACACCCAGGTACCTATTTTACTGCTAGGTAACAGGGGCATAGGGTGAAAGAAACTCTGCCCATTGTTTCTCCCCCGGCGCCCGGGATCGAACCCGGGACCACAAGTCCAGCGTGTTGTTCGCTCGGCCTACCGACTCTTGATCTAGCCAGGGGAGCCGGTCGGCCGAGCGGACAGCACCCTGGACTTGTGATCCTGTGGTCCTGGGTTCGATCCCAGGCGCCGGGGGAGAAACAATGGGCAGAGTTTCTTTCACCCTATGCCCCTGTTACCTAGCAGTAAAATGGGTACCTGGGTGTTAGTCAGCTGTCACGGGCTGCTTCCTGGGGGTGGAGGCCTGGTCGAGGACCGGGCCGCGGGGACACTAAAGCCCCGAAATCATCTCAAGATAACCTCAAGATATCTATTGACTTGTTGCTCATGCTTCAGGTGTGTACCATTGACACAATGGTACACAACATTGTGTACCATTGACACAATGGTACACAACATTGTGTACCATTGACACTATGGTACACAACATTGTGTACCATTGACACAATGGTACACAACATTGTGTACCATTGACACAATGGTACACAACATTGTGTACCATTGACACTATGGTACACAACATTGTGTACCATTGACACAATGGTACACAACATTGTGTACCATTGACACAATGGTACACAACATTGTGTACCATTGACACTATGGTACACAACATTGTGTACCATTGACACAATGGTACACAACATTGTGTACCATCGACACAATGGTACACAACATTGTGTACCATCGACACAATGGTACACAACATTGTGTACCATTGACACAATGGTACACAACATTGTGTACCATAGTAACGTCTGACTCAATCTTTATAGCCATTTATCTCTCATTCCTTGTACACTATTCTACATTATGAAGAACGCGCATGCGTAGTCAAGTCTTCCGTAAGAGAGCCCAGGGGCCAGATTCACGAAGCAGTTACGCAAGCACTTACGAACCTGGGGCCAGATTCACGAAGCAGTTACCCAAGCACTTACGAACCTGGGGCCAGATTCACGAAACAGTTACGCAAGCACTTACGAACCTGGGGCCAGATTCACGAAGCAGTTACGCAAGCACTTACGAACCTGGGGCCAGATTCACAAAGTAGTTACCCAAGCACTTACGAACCTGGGGCCAGATTCACGCAGCAGTTACGCAAGCACTTACGAACCTGGGGCCAGATTCACGAAGCAGTTACGCAAGCACTTACGAACCTGGGGCCAGATTTACGAAGCAGTTACGCAAGCACTTACGAACCTGGGGCCAGATTCACGAAGCAGTTATCCAAGTACTTACTAACCTGGGGCCAGATTCACGAAGCAGTTACGCAAGCACTTACGAACCTGGGGCCAGATTCACGAAGCAGTTACGCAAGCACTTACGAACCTGGGGCCAGATTCACGAAGCAGTTACGCAAGCACTTACGAACCTGGGGCCAGATTCACGAAGCAGTTACGCAAGCACTTACGAACCTGGGGCCAGATTCACGAAAACACTTACGCAAGCACTTACGAACCTGGGGCCAGATTCACGAAGCAGTTACCCAAGCACTTACGAAACTGGGGCCAGATTCACGAAGCAGTTACGCAAGCACTTACGACCCTGGGTCTAGATTTACGAAGCAGTTACGCAAGCACTTACGAACGTGTACATCTTTCCTCAATCTTTGACGGCTTTGGTTACATTTATTAAACAGTTTACAAGCAAGGAAACTTGCCAATCAACTGTTGTTATTGTTATAAACAGCCTCCTGGTGCTTCGGAGCTCATTAACTGTTTAATAATTGTAAACAAAGCCGCCAAAGATTGAGAAAAGATGGACAAGTTCGTAAGTGTTTGCGTAAGTGCTTTCGTGAATCTGGCCCCAGGTTCGTAAGTGCTTGCGTAACTGCTTTCGTGAATCTGGCCCCAGGTTCGTAAGTGTTTGCGTAACTGCTTTCGTAAATCTGGCCCCAGGTTCGTGAGTGCTTGCGTAACTGCTTTCGTGAATCTGGCCCCAGCTTCGTAAGTGCATGCGTAACTGCCTTCGTGAATCTGGTCCCAGGTTCGTAAGTGCTTGCGTAACTGCTTTCGTGAATCTGGCCCCAGATGTCGGGTGAGGGTCAACCTCCGCTCCCTTCATGCGCCTATTTACGTCGCTTTAAATACCAGCAACCTGTTCAATGTGGCCCTTGCTTATAAGGAACTAAACCCTTATGAACACACAAAGAAGCTTGATGTATTAGAACTCTATATCTCCCATTAGATCGATCTGTATACAGCAAAGAAAATGCGAGATACCGCTGGTCGGTTGCCTCTCTGTTCCGCTACCGTTTTCCCTGAACTCCGCCGTGTTCTAGGGGATACTGAAGTAGATTACGGAAAGGCAAGAAAAGATTTGAGTGTTACCTTGCGTCAGCTGTCCGTCTTTGCCTCTGTGGCGCCTGGACCGTCGTCTCCTGCTGCTGTCGTCGTCACCTCCTTCTGCGTCGGACTCCCAGGCTTCATGGGCCGTCGCGGCGTCCCTACCCACCGGATTGACTGTCAACCCATCTCCACCAACTTGGATTTCGTAAGTAAACTCCATTTCATCAGGTCTGGAGGTCAGTAGGGCGCCGTCGGCATCCCGAAGTTCCATCCCGCCTATGGAGCCCTCTATAGAGAGGATCTCTATATTGGACTTGATGGGGGAGTCGGACTTGGCGGCTAGTCGGGCTTCGCGCTCGGCCTGTAGCGCCCTCTGCCGAGCTTCGCCTGTAAACACACGAGATATTTATTTGTCATCTTCGCTACGTACAGGCGGGTCTTAGTCTCTTCCTCAGTCAAGATAGAGACTACGACACTACTAGAGAGAGACACTCAAGTACGTTGATTGAGACAATTAAATACATCTCAAAGGGATAGAGTAGCTTAGGATTGATAGTCAAGATAGAGACTACGACACTACTACAGAGAGACACTCAAGTACGTTGATTGAGACAATTAAATACATCTCAAAGGGATAGAGTAGCTTAGGATTGATAGAGTCAAGATAGAGACTACGACACTACTACAGAGAGACACTCAAGTACGTTGATTGAGACAATTAAATACATCTCAAAGGGATAGAGTAGCTTAGGATTGATAGAGTCAAGATAGAGACTACGACACTACTACAGAGAGACACTCAAGTACGTTGATTGAGACAATTAAATACATCTCAAAGGGATAGAGTAGCTTAGGCTATATCTACCCTCCCTGAGACTACGTAGACACTACAACTCTATACCTTGATAGAGTCAAGATAGAGATTTAATGCTGTTTCTACAGTTAAAGCACGTAAAATATTCCTCTACACACTATAATGGCTCATAATTGCATGAACATAAGTGGTATTGTAAACAAAGTGATATATTCAAGTTAATAAACATTTAATTTGCTGAAAATGTCAGGTAAATGCTCTATTATAATCACTGGAGACATTTAAATATTTTTGTAAGTCATTATTCCTTCAATTTAATGGTCGGTAAATTAAATTAAATTAAATTCGTTAAATGCAAATTAAATAATGGTCTTAAATTCTGGGTATTTACTCGATTTTTAATAAAAAAAACCATGAAATGCCTTTTCCTGACGATGTGACTTAGATATAACTTGTATAAACAACATTTCATCCATATGGACTCTTAGAGAGACTAACTACAGAGTGCCAGGTATAGGCCGGACCTCTATCATAGAGCCATCACTACTAACAAATTAAACCAGAGAGGAATAACTCTACAAGATTGACTAGGCACTATTACCTTCCTGTGTATCAATGCTAGGCTTGTTTATAAGATATAATCCTGTCTAAGAGGTTCCACTAGTCCTGATCTAATTATTCTCTCAGATATTTTGCAGCATAGAGTTTGAACACAATTCTGTACGTCAGAGCCTGTCTGTCTGTCTACTGTAATAATGGCACCATGTTTGCCGTCTTTCAACTGCTGGGCAGCTCTCCCTCTTGCTAGTGAAGTATTTAAGATTGATATTAAATATAGAGACTTCTACTTTTTCAGTATCCATGGTACTGAGTTGTCTGATGCTATAGATTTCGCTTCCTCTAATGCCTCTAGCTTCCTCTAATGCCTCTAGTTTCCTCTCTACTGCTCCGTTACCTTAATGTTGACCAGACCACACACTAGAAAATGAAGGGACGACGACGTTTAGGTCCGTCCTGGACCATTCTCAAGTCAAGTCAAAATCGACTTGAGAATGGTCCAGGACTGACCGAAACGTCGTCGTCGTCCCTTCATTTTCTAGTGTGTGGTCTGGTCAACATACTTCAGCCTCGTTATTGTGACCTGTTACCTCAATTTTCATCAACTGGGCTGTGGTGGGTATGTGGGCCTGCGGGCCGCTCCAAGCAACAGCCTGGTGGACCAAACTCTCACAAGTCAAGCCTGGCCTCGGGCCGCTCCAAGCAACAGCCTGGTGGACCAAACTCTCACAAGTCAAGCCTGGCCTGCGGGCCGCTCCAAGCAACAGCCTGGTGTACCAAACTCTCACAAGTCAATCCTGGCCTCGGGCCGGGCTTAGGGAGTAGAAGAGCTCCCAGAACCCCATCAACCAGGTATATGTGGGCCTGCGGGCCGCTCCAAGCAACAGCCTGGTGGACCAAACTCTCACAAGTCAAGCCTGGCCTCGGGCCGGGCTTGGGGAGTAGAAGAACTCCCAGAACCCCATCAACCAGGTATATGTGGGCCTGCGGGCCGCTCCAAGCAACAGCCTGGTGGACCAAACTCTCACAAGTCAAGCCTGGCCTGCGGGCCGCTCCAAGCAACAGCCTGGTGGACCAAACTCTCACAAGTCAAGCCTGGCCTGCGGGCCGCTCCAAGCAACAGCCTGGTGGATCAAGCTCTCACAAGTCAAGCCTGGCCTGCGGGCCGCTCCAAGCAACAGCCTGGTGGACCAAGCTCTCACAAGTCAAGCCTGGCCTCGGGCCGCTCCAAGCAACAGCCTGGTGGACCAAGCTCTCACAAGTCAAGCCTGGCCTCGGGCCGCTCCAAGCAACAGCCTGGTGGACCAAACTCTCACAAGTCAAGCCTGGCCTGCGGGCCGCTCCAAGCAACAGCCTGGTGGACCAAACTCTCACAAGTCAGGCCTGGCCTGCGAGCCGCTCCAAGCAACAGCCTGGTGGACCAAACTCTCACAAGTCAAGCCTGGCCTGCGGGCCGCTCCAAGCAACAGCCTGGTGGACCAAACTCTCACAAGTCAAGCCTGGCCTGCGAGCCGCTCCAAGCAACAGCCTGGTGGACCAAACTCTCACAAGTCAAGCCTGGCCTGCAGGCCGCTCCAAGCAACAGCCTGGTGGACCAAACTCTCACAAGTCAAGCCTGGCCTCGGACCGCTCCAAGCAACAGCCTGGTGGACCAAACTCTCACAAGTCAAGCCTGGCCTGCGGGCCGCTCCAAGCAACAGCCTGGTGGACCAAACTCTCACAAGTCAAGCCTGGCCTGCGGGCCGCTCCAAGCAACAGCCTGGTGGACCAAGCTCTCACAAGTCAAGCCTGGCCTCGGGCCGCTCCAAGCAACAGCCTGGTGGACCAAGCTCTCACAAGTCAAGCCTGGCCTCGGGCCGGGCTTGGGGAGTAGAAGAACTCCCAGAACCCCATCAACCAGGTATATGTGGGCCTGCGGGCCGCTCCAAGCAACAGCCTGGTGGACCAAACTCTCACAAGTCAAGCCTGGCCTCGGGCCGGGCTTGGGGAGTAGAAGAACTCCCAGAACCCCATCAACCAGGTATATGTGGGCCTGCGGGCCGCTCCAAGCAACAGCCTGGTGGACCAAACTCTCACAAGTCAAGCCTGGCCTCGGGCCGGGCTTGGGGAGTAGAAGAACTCCCAGAACCCCATCAACCAGGTATATGTAGGCCTGCGGGCCGCTCCAAGCAACAGCCTGGTGGACCAAACTCTCACAAGTCAAGCCTGGCCTCGGGCCGGGCTTGGGGAGTAGAAGAACTCCCAGAACCCCATCAACCAGGTATATGTGGGCCTGCGGGCCGCTCCAAGCAACAGCCTGGTGGACCAAACTCTCACAAGTCAATCCTGGCCTCGGGCCGGGCTTGGGGAGTAGAACAACTCCCAGAACCCCATCAACCAGGTATATGTGGGCCTGCGGGCCGCTCCAAGCAACAGCCTGGTGGACCAAACTCTCACAAGTCAAGCCTGGCCTCGGGCCGGGCTTGGGGAGTAGAACAACTCCCAGAACCCCATCAACCAGGTATATGTGGGCCTGCGGGCCGCTCCAAGCAACAGCCTGGTGGACCAAACTCTCACAAGTCAAGCCTGGCCTCGGGCCGGGCTTGGGGAGTAGAAGAACTCCCAGAACCCCATCAACCAGGTATATGTGGGCCTGCGGGCCGCTCCAAGCAACAGCCTGGTGGACCAAACTCTCACAAGTCAAGCCTGGCCTCGGGCCGGGCTTGGGGAGTAGAAGAACTCCCAGAACCCCATCAACCAGGTATATGTGGGCCTGCGGGCCGCTCCAAGCAACAGCCTGGTGGACCAAACTCTCACAAGTCAAGCCTGGCCTCGGGCCGGGCTTGGGCAGTAGAAGAACTCCCAGAACCCCATCAACCAGGTATTCGAGTCATGTTAGGTCGTCCTGCGGCTTGTCACAGGCAGTTGTTTTCAGTCGCGAATAGCCCCCTCCCCCCCCTCCAAGTGGAACTGCTGTACTCACCTGTGCTCAGTCGTGCTTGTAGGGTCGAGACTCGGCTCTTAAGCCCCGCCTGTCGACCATTAATGGTTAATGCAGGGACTTCAATCTCTTTTTCGAATCACATTTAAAGCTGTGTATTTCCCGGGCCTCCAGGCTCGAGCTATAGCTCTTGGACCCCGCTTTTCTAGCCTTTGGTTGTCTAATGCAATGTGCATAAAATTAGCTTTAGCAATTTCCTCATCTTGTTCGCTACACTTACGACTCTTGGAGTGAAAAAACTTTACCATGTCTCATTTCTGATTCCAATTATAGTCCCCTCGTTCTACTGTTCTTTAGACATTGCTTCTATATCTACTTTGTCAATCTTCCCTTAATATCTTGTATGTCGTTATCATGTTCTCTTCTTTCTTCCAGTGAAGTGAGGTTCAGTGTTCCTCAGTCTTCATAGCTCAGTCCCCTTAGCTCAGGAACGGGTACTGTTGCATATTTTGAACATTTTTAGGTTTGTGTTTCGTTGGGTAGGGGGTTCCATGCTATCTTGAGGTTATCTTGAGATGATTTCGGGGCTTTTAGTGTCCCCGCGGCCCGGTCCTCGACCAGGCCTCCACCCCCAGGAAGCAGCCCGTGACAGCTAACTAACACCCAGGTACCTATTTTACTGCTAGGTAACAGGGGCATAGGGTGATTATCTTGAGATTATCTTGAGATAATTTCGGGGCTTTTTAGTGTCCCCGCGGCCCGGTCCTCGACCAGGCCTCCACCCCCAGGAAGCAGAGAAGCATAGGGTGTAAGAAACTCTGCCCATTGTTTCTCGCCGGCGCCTGGGATCGAACCCAGGACCACAGGATCACAAGTCCAGCATGTTGTCCGCTCGGCCGACCGGCGACCGTAGCGGACAACTAATTATGGGTCATTATGGGTCAGTGTCTCACAATTATTGAGTCAGTGTCAATGAGTCATTATTGAGTCATTATGGGTCAGTGTCTCACAATTATTGAGTCAGTGTCAATGAGTCATTATTGAGTCATTATGGGTCAGTGTCTCACAATTATTGAGTCAGTGTCAGTAAGTCAT